GTGTCTAATTATAATTTATTACAGACATCAATACATCACAATAATCAATCCCAGTTCGACCAATGGTTGCTCATCACTTTCAAACTTTCAAATACTATGAATCAACATCATTGTTCATCGGAGTACTATAGATTGGATGGATTGTATTGAAGAGTATTTGAATCCCATATAAACAAAACTGCCCTATTTTATTAGCGAGGCTTTATTTACTTTCTTTATCTTCTTAACTCGTAAAAAAAATATAGTACAATTTAAGGGTTAAAATCAAACTACTAATTATATGTTAAAAATTTATATGTATAAGAAAAAATAAAAATTTGTGTGATACCATTTAATAAAATTTTACTATAACTATTAATGTATAGTGTTTATTATTCTGCGTATATTTAAATGAATTATTAACAGTTCAATTTTACAATATGTTACCATTGCAGTAGTTTTACTCAATTTTTTGAGATTCCAAGACTAAACATTTTCATGAGGATACAGCGCTAGGGGTAGAATTTGCTACACATAAAGAAATTTTCTTTTCCCTTCAGTGTTCAACATCTGTTTTTTTGCTGTTTATCGTTAATCGAATAAAACCTATGTACAATTGACCTGTAAGTCTGCAATTTATTTAGTGATGTTATATATTATAATAATTGGTGTATGTTGAGTTTTTTTAATTTATAAATGGAAAATTACTAAATAAAAATTAATTTATTATTAAAACCGAATTTTAATAGATAAAATGCAATAAAGTAAATAGTTAGCTCAAATAATTTCGATTATGATTTACAAAGATATAAATATAATTGTTTTTTTTATCCATTAAATTTTGATGTATTCCAAGACAATATATTGATGTTATAAAAAACAAATTTAACTTCTCCTAAGACTTTAAAAACTATACTTATTCTAGTTTTTATACCAAATATGAAAACAATAGTTGTTTACCAAATAATTTCTTATTATATTATAAATGTTTTCAACATAATGGAATGAGGTGTCCTATTGATTAATTTTATCAAATTTATCGTACAATTAATCTTGAAATATTTATCAAATATATCTAATTTTATTAGTAAAGCTAGTCGATTTAACTTAAAATTTTTAAATGAAAAATATTTTATGGCTTTCCAGAAAACCACAGTGTGACAGTTTTCATATGTTTCAACCGCAATCATCAAAAGGTACAGTTGTTAATTATAAATCAAAAAATTTTATTTATCATCATTGGCCAAGCATGACTTATTGCAATCACATAAAATTATGATTTTTGTTTCAATCAAACTGTTTTTTACTTATCCTTTTAAAAAAAAACAAATAAATGCTATTTATTTGTTTAATCTCTATTCTTTATTACTGCCAGTTGTTTTTATTTAATTTGATATTTAAACAGACTCTTAGTTATAATATTTTCAAATATATACATAAGACAATAATGATGAAGAAAAAAAAAACTATTACAAACATTTTATATTATTTATTACGGTTTACTATATTATATGACAATGTTATAAAAAAAATGCAATTTAACTTTAACTGCACAATTAATGTTTATACATTATTGTTAAGCATTTTAGTCATATAATAAATAATCAACAACAAATTCAGACATACAAATACATTAAATTAGTGGTTCTTAAAATGTGGTACGCGGATGGCTGCATAGTGGTAGAGTGGATATTAAAATTTTAATATAAATTCATATATGATGAATAATGAGGGCGCAACAGTGAAAAAAATATGTAATACATCCATAAAGATCCGCATAACATTTGTCGACTATCTGTTATTCAATGTTTCAAAAAATGTTTTTAATTTAAAAAAAAAATGTATTTTGTGATATTTTATACTACATAATGGTTATGATAATTGACCCATGAAAAAGCCAAGGGGGGTCAGATAACCCAACTTACCCCCCTCTGCGAATGCCCTTGCGTGACTGATTGATAATATACTCAAGTGGTACACGAAAATAAAAGTTTGAGAACCGCTGCATTAAATTATATACAAATATATTAACTTTTTCTTTTATAAATTTTTATTTTGCATATATTTTAATATAAGGTCTCTTTTTTTTTTGGGATAAGTGATTCTCATAAACTTTAATGGTGGATTTATCGAAATGTGTATTACATTTTTTCCATTTCTTTCTTCTAGTAAGATCTTTCATATAATTTTCTGGGGTCATTTTGGTCATTAAACCTATAAAAACAATAAAATATCACAATTTAAACAAACATTTACTACTATTTTATGTTAACCACTTGAATTTCAACTAAAACACAAATACAAAAAAGTTTCTACAAATAATTTTATAAAGATATTTCAAAAATATGATGTACCCTATAGTTGTTAATTATAGTTATTCATACACAAATCATTAGACTGATTACAATTATTTAAACTTTAAATTATAAATTTTACATGGTCGACAATAACAAATTGAGAATTTACTAAAATAAATATGATCTAAAAATATTGCATTATTTTAGTGAATAGCATGTGGTAGACATTTATCAAATAAAAACTTAAATAATTGTATTAAATTTGTCTTGATTGATCGAACAAAATATATATTTATATGCACAATTTAGAACATGACATAAATGCAGCTTATAATGTACTTATGGACTTTTAACTAGATTATTAAATATGTCACTCCATGTGTTACATTATGATTTTTTTATTTAGTTAATGATATTATACAATTTAATAATAAGAAATACAACCAAGATCTACAATTTATTGAAACATATTGACGTGTAATATTAATTGAAATCTTGTGTTTCATTCAGTTAGTGTAAGTAGGGCCTTACCTACTTTATAGGCCATTGACATTAATTTTTATACTATTTTCTGCTGTATCGCACAAAGACCAGTGACTTGTCATGACATGATACACCCATCAGGTTGTTCGAATTGACTCAGAATCAATACGTCCTATAAATGTTCAAGAATATTTACAAACAAACAATGATTCAATGTAATCACACGTTATGTTACCGTATGTTTTATGTTCAAATCGAGACTGCACAACGGACAGCATTTACTCTTAATAATCTTTTCTGAGGAATGGTACATAGCATTCCTTGGATGATCAACTTATTTTTCGAGTTTGTTGTGTTGGACTGAAAGGCAAGGAAAATAGGTAAACACCACGAGCACAGCAAAGCTAACAAAACACAGCGGTACTTATTCTCCATAAGAAACGTAGCCGCAGTAGTGTGCAGACCGCTGTTGGGCGTCAACTGTTCCAACAATCCACTCACGGCCAACATGGTACCCGTCGATATTTTAAACAATCTCAATTTGTAAGATCCGTTGTTTCGCGTGCACAACGATCGGTCGGTTGAGCGGTGGGCAACGCCGTGCAATTTTCCACAGAAATTTTAATTTGTTTTCGTCGAAAGATAACAACTCGATCGTGATACGACAAATGTATTCGTTCAAAACCGATAGTGGTCGCGTTTTCGTGTTAAACGAACGGTTGATATAATACGCGTTGTTTTTTCGGCGCAGATTCCCGTCTGTGCTCGTACGTCGTGTGGAATTAGAATCCGGCAATCAGAAATGCATTTAAATGCGGAACAACCAAGGCCGCATTTAGGAGGGCACTGGCTACAACTGCCCCTGGCGCCAAAATGTTGTGGTCGGGAATTTGCTCATTTGTGAATTATTGAACTTTTAAAGTTATTTTGAAATTATTATTTTTTTTTTTTTTTGTTTTATAACAGTATCATAAATTAATGTTAATGTATTTAATTTATTAATATATATTATTAATGTATTTATAGCGATATAGCCATCATCGATCCAGAATATTATTAATATATCTAATATTAGTTCCCAAATTTGTTGTTATCGCGTGCGGCGTGCGGTGGCGTGCCTACTACACAAAAATAGCATTGATTTTAGAATATCTAAAAGGTTCATGAGGATCTATCTCCCATACTTTCCGTGGGTAGGCTTCTTAGAGGGACGCCAATTTTTTTTTGTTTGTTTTTTTTTTGCGCCGGGGCTCAAAATACGACACTGGGAACATAGGCGTGTGCAGGGGATATGCAGGGTTATGCAACTGCATACCCTAAACATAGAGCCTTCTTTCTAAAATTACAAAAAATAAATAAAAATTATGACAAATTTGGTTTTATGTATATTATGTGATTTAGTATTACATTATGATTCTAATTATATTTTCATATTCAGTCCCAGACAGTTTAATTTATTTTTGAATCACAAATCATATACTATAATAACGATTTAATGTGTTAATGAAATTAAGAAGTACAATAATTCAAGCGAGATTAAATAGATATCAACCACAGAACAAGAAATAGCTACAAATTAAAATCCCGAAAACAACGGTGATTTATTAACTTCACTGTACGCAGAATCGTTTTATGATTAATTTTGATTATTTATCAAATTTATTTTGTTTTTCATTTAAGTATATAATTACGATTTTATTTATTTACTCTATTTAAACGTATTACTCAAACCATTTCAAGTGTTATGTATTTAAATTTTTTTTTCGTAATTTATTTTAATTTTTAATTATGAAGACAGTTATAACGATTAAGAAATGGTTATTCAGTCACTTTTTTCGGGTAAAAAAAATTAAATAGTTATTAAGACCAGAATTTCGAACGCTTAAATTAACTTTCAGTTTTAGGGGGGGGGGGGGGAGATAGGCAGTGGCAGCCTTTTCCATACCCTGAAAGAGGTCTGCGCACGTCTATGACTGGGAACAACGAGTGACGAGTGAAACGACACAAATGATTCTTCGAACGTTCGTTCGTTCGCACACTCGACACCGGACAGTAGTACTTTATCCAACGACTCAGCGGTTGATAACGGAGTACCGTTCGCCAAATTATTCGGATCGCCGATACGGTTTTGATGTCTGTGCCATAGGCGCTATAGGGTTTTTAGCACACCCGGTTTTTTTTTCAGATCTATATAATCTATAATAATTACAGTAAAATACCATGTAATTTTATTTTCAGTAATTTCAGCACCCCCAATATTTGGGCGCTAGTTGCGCCCGTGCTCGGTGCACGTTCGAATGAACGCGTACAACGGACAGTGTCCGTTGAAATTTATCAACATCGCTTTAACCCGCCGTAACAAACGATGATTGTTTCGGTGTTCCGCAGTGGCGGGTTTAACGGGGAAGAAGTGGTCATTTGTCGCCTAATAATATTCTTACCCGAAAATGTCCCCCGGACCCAGTCCTTATTTATTTCAATTTCAACATAAAATTTCAAATATAATTGGTCATTACTGTTTCCGAAGTTTTAGATTGTAACACATCAAGTAATATACTATGATAAGAAATTAGTAATTATAATACCGTGTAATGTTACGAAATGCTCACACGACTTAAAGTACGGTTTCCTAGACGCGACATGTCGTTAGTAACTGCTTACTCGAAAATCATATAGACTGGTTTGTAACGCGCGACAAACCACGACAACCGAACTTTGGGTCGCGACGACCGACGACACTACTGCTCCGGGAGCAGTACTGCGCGACAAGTCGCCGCGACATTCACAGTGATCGTTGTGAATTTTTAGCATGATGGCGTCTACTTTGGTTTTTTCTGCGTCCAACGACGAAATTCTTATTTAAGAGGTACAAAAGAATCCGGTTCTTTTCAACATTGGAGATAAAAATTATAAAAATATAATATTAAAAGATAATATTTGGAAAGACATATTTTTGAAACTTGGAAAATCAGGTAATGTAGTCTATATTAGATATATATAAAAAGTATATTATGAAAATAACAATAATTAATATTTTGTAGTGGATGTAACTAAAAAGAGATGGAAAAATATTAGAGATTCTTATGCCAGAAATAAAAGAAAACCATCTACGGGTTCAGCGGCATCTAACAATAAAAAGTGGACATTAGCACCTCATTTTGATTTTTTGGGAACGAAAGAAGGTACCTACATTTACATTATATATTTACATTTACGTTATAATGTAATATATTTTAATGCTTGTTTTATCAAACTGAATCATAATATAATGCTTGTCATGATTAAAAACTTAGTTGACATAAATTAAAATATTTTCAAATTGCCTTCATTTTTCAAATAATTTTTCTGTAAATTATAATAAAGTAATTTTCATAATTTAACTACTAATTTAACTAATTATTGATAACTGTTTACTTGTGACATATGTGATATTGGTGGAAAAATATAATGAAACAAATATTTACCAGACGATTTATTTTGTTTTAACGCTATACATTGCCCATTTACTCCGTACTGCGAAAATATACAAACCGGCATCAATTTTTATTTATATTGTTTCGTGGGTATTAACACGCGTTATCGCCGTGCCGTATCGCTGCGTTGATGAGCGTAATGACACGTCTATTTTTATTTCAGCAAAAATTCTTAGTATTTAATTTTGTTTAATCGTAAAGTTTACAACGTTAACATTCTGGTATTCGATTAAGAACATCCGTCGGACACAGAAGTAGATTGATTAAAATCATAAGGTAAGAATATAATATTTAATATTATTAACTGTAAAAACGTTTATCAAATTTTGACTTTCAATATTTAAGTTACTATACCCTACAATAATAAAATCAACCGGTTATATGTTTGAAACTTAACTGCGTGTTTCGAATGCTGCGATTAATCGCTGCAAATTAAAACGTATTGTAATAATTGTATGGGTTTATTCACGCATTCGCCCATGAGACGCGCTTGTTTAATTTTGAACGTTTTTCAACTACAAAACAAATATTTTTCCAATGCATTTCTTTTTTTTATAACTCACGGGTGATTTGAATAACGCGCGATCGCAACGCGTTTTATTTACCTCCATTCATAATTCGTGTCTTCGACCTTGTATGAATTACAAATTACAATTACAAATTGTATTAATTTATATTTAATAAACATAAATTCGTATAATCGTTTGTATTTGTACATTCATGTTCCTCGTGCAGTAATTATGTCCAGACAATATGAATAAAATTATACGCGGAAGCAATCGTACTGCGTATTATTAATAATTATTAGTATCGCAGTCCCCCGAGGTGAAATGGTCGAAAAATGTGTTGGTCGTACACTGTTGTTTCGTAGTGAATTTTTCGCCCCTACGTAACTCGTTTCTCACGACTCGAATCCCTTTACACGCCCGTCCGTTTGGACCGCGAAAAAAACCCGTCTAGACCCGGCATCGACCGAATACGGACGAAAAAAACAAAATATTTTGTTTTTATCCGACATCGGCTGTAAACGATCGAATTTCTCGGATGTAATGTACAATTGAATTTTATACTTTTATTTTTTTCGTGCGTATTCGACTGAACGTTATTTCGGCCGATGCCGGGTCTAGTCTGACCGTAGATTAACGTTATGTCCTAACTGAATCCGTGCGTTGCGGGCATTGCGTGCACACAGATAAAACAAATTGCTGCAAAGTACGGACATGTCCTTACTGGTCGTATGACGCGTGCGGTACGTTTCATCGCACCGCACATAACGCCTTGTCCTTACTGAATCCGTGCGTTGCGTTTATACGTTCGCCCGCAACGCAACGCACGCAACGCAACATTTTGTTGGCAAAATTGACGTCGATGAATTCAGACGTGCAACATACAAGAGGTTGTGAAGTTGCAGGCAGTTGTACATTTTATTTTCAGTTGTTAACATGTCGTTAACCTCCGAACAACGAAAAATTGTACTATCCGAAAGTTTGGCGGTTAAACTTTTTATTTTGAAAAAAAAATTGTCCAATTTGTATTGCTTATAGGAACTAATTATATTATTACTATCATTATTTTATTTTTGTATTATATTACTGATTACATTATTCCATAAAATATTAATATATTATATAATAAATAATAATATTGTAATATTGTAATAATAATATATTTCTTTAGCTAGTATATTCAGTATACAATTTTAAACTTTTAAACTTACTTGACATTCCAAGTTCTTTGGATACAGAATCCCAATGCCTGTCTGCCACTACCCGATCTTTAAATTTTGGTTCCCATTTATTCCAAAGTACTGATCTTTTTTGTACTTCGGAAATAAGAACATCCATTTTTGAAATACAAAAAAAAATAAATTTAAATAATTGACAATGTGTCTTGACGCACAACGTTGCGTTGGAAAATAGAACAAGCTCTATTTTGTGCGGTGCGTTAAAACGCATCGCACGCATGTTACGGCCAGTTAGGACATGTTCGTACTTTGTTGCAGTTGGTTTTATTTGCGTGCACGCATCGCCCGCAATACACGCAACGCACGCAACGCACGGATTCAGTTAGGACATAGCGTAATGGAACATGCTCTATTTTTCAACGCAACGTTCTGCGGGCAAGACTTAATATTGTTACGTAAATTAAAATAAATATTCCCGTATTTACATAAAATTTGTATTTTTTGCGTTTAAAAAATGGATCATCTTATTTCTGAAGTACAAAGAAGAGCGTTACTTTGGAAAAAATGGGATATAAAAAATTTATAGATCGCGTAGTGATGACATTCATGTTCAATTACCTCTTTTATGTAATCAAATGTACTTGTTACCATTCGCATGTAAGAATGAAATAAATTATCATCAGCGCGTAATTGTGCATACAAATGATGAAATTTGCCAAATTCAAGCCTATCTTTATAAATTTGGTGTACCACATTTTCTTTACGTTTTTTTTTTTAAATAATCAACTAAAACACTAAACTTTCGAATAATAACATTTTACGTTATACAATGTTTAACGGCATGTTGACGACTGGCATTTTCCGACCTATCGCACGTATAAAACGGACGTAAATTTTGCCATCGATACGTTTTATCATTATACATGTATACCAAACAACATAATAATGATTTGTAATTATAACTAATATACCCTGCTACATTATAAGCTCATATATTATATATTTATATTCTTCTTTGGGTGCTTTTCGATTCTGAATGTTGGCGACCATTCTAGCAATTCTCTCTCTTTGGTTTATCGTTGCTACAGATATAAATTAAATAACATTATATACAGGGCCGTCTTAGGGTATGCAGGGGTTCATAAAGCTTAGCTGACCTAAAAAAAAAATGAAATAATGGGATAAGAAATAAGATACTTAATGTAAATTCACACAATTAAGCATTCATTATTTAATTCTTATTCACCTAAGTTTTTTTTATAAGTTGTCGTATTAATACGTTACAGCATAAGTTCCCAAAGTGTGCGCCACGATGTCTACATAAGGGCGCCGCGCTGTCATGAAATACTATCGGGTCTAACATTTTCCTTATGATTAGTCATGCTATGACTTAGAGAAGAGCGCCTTGAAAAAACCTTAAGTCAAAAAGGGCACCGGGTGTCTAAAAAGTTTGGGAAGCACTGCGTTACATCATAAATTTAAAGTTATAATTTCTATTATTCAGGGCCCTCAGCAATATGGGAGCTTTGGGCACGTACCCACTTGCCTATATAGTAAAGACGGAACTGATCAAATGTATCCTATCTTCTCAACTTCCCCCCCCCCCCCTACAAAAGTGGCTGAACCCGTCAACAGCGTTTATATGTGAATTAATATTTAAAATGTTAATACTTAAATAACAATCTTTTCCATTAATTAGTAAATACTAAATATTAATCTTGAAAACTTAATTTAGGTATGATTACTGATTAAGTGATAACTGTGATAATAAATGATCACAAATAAGCTAAAAATATGTTATTTTAAAATTTAATAGATTTTGTTACACTAATGACTAGAGCCCAGATTTATATGCATTTATAAAGTGTCAAATATGATGCAATTATGCAAAGAAAAAATGGCTAAATATAAAATTATATGCATTATGTTACACTTTATAAAATATGATTTTTTATTTTGAAAACCACACTTTTATACCAAATAAAATTCTAATTATTTTATCAAAAACAAAAAAAAATGATAATATCCAATGATTTATATTTCAAATAATTTAAATCAATCTAAAACTTTTAGGAAACTAAAAAACGAGAATACAAATAAAAACAATAACTAAAAATAAATATTTTAGATTTTATAAATATTTTAGATTATTTGAAGTTACCTACCGTAAAAAAACTAATAGAAAACTTAAAAAAAAAAAATATAAATCTTTTAAAATAATATTTTGAAACTTAATACCTATCATCTTAATTCGTGCTCTATTCGAGGAGATTACAAAATTTACTGTAAATTAAATAGATAATTAATTAAAAATCATTAAATATGCATGTTATATGCATTTATGAACAAATATGCAATAACCATTGAAATATGCAAAATATGCAGTATAAAATTTGGTGTTTAAATTCGATGTGATATGAATCCTGGAAATTTCAAACCTCCATAGACGTGCATACACTTAGTAAAAATATGCAAATGCATATAAATCCGGGCTCTACTAATGACAATACCACGTATCTAAATTTCACCAATTGTCCAGGAGAGTGAAAAACTAAATAAATATTAACAAATATTATACTGCTCATATTTTTATCAAGTTTAAATTTAAGTTATGATTAATCAACATTGTTTTTAATAAAACTCTTTAAATTTGATTGCTGTTAAAATGTAGTGTAGTTACTTGGTATTTCTTAAAGTTGTTATGAGATACGTGTTTTTGAGCAGTGCTTTAACATTGTTGCAAAAATAATAAAAAAATAAATTATAAATTTATAAAAATACTAATTAATATATCCAATTTGGAAGGGAAATAATTTATTTTAGGTTATTGTACAGAAAGTAAATTTTGTGCGTAAGGAGATAACTAATATTTTGATACCAAAACCTCATTTTATGTAAAATGTCAGATACGTGGTATTGTCATTAGTGTAACGATTTGATTCGATTCATTATGATTTAGGTTCAAACCGTGACTTGGTTAAGATATGATTTGACTTATCAATTGTGAGTTGATGAATTGACTTAATGAATTGATTTACTAAAGTGAGTCGTAATTCTCCTCTCTAATTTATATTATGAATTATGATAACATTATAGTGGTTGATGGCGATTAAACGTATTAACCAATTTGTTACAACGCAATGCCGCATATAGGTGTTCTTAAATTCTAATCAATCAGCTAGATTAGGTGATGAACTTAAGAACACACGGATTTACTACACGTACGGCTTTAAATGTAATAGGAACAGGGATGGAAACGATATATCGATATGACCTTACCGATATACTGACTCGATATAATAGAGTCTTTCGATATTTTAATAAGATAAATCGTCGGGAAACAAAGAGATGATATATTTATACACATTTACAAATTAACTGCGATGTTATAGATTAATAGTAATAGTTATGTTTAGTGTTTACATTTTGCATATTTGCACCACACAATCCACGTTCCTCATTGATTAAATCGAAAGTCGGTAGAGGTATATAGTAGGGTTCGAATTGGCAAAATTAAAAAGGGGACTGTGTTTACTTAAAAAAAAAAAAAATAGCGTCCCCAAAACTTGTTAAGTGTTATAATTATAACGTAATAATAGTAGATGGACGCTAAAATTTCTGAAATTTGGGATACTCCGTCCCCCTGTCTCCCTTAAAGTGTAGCTCTGTATATAGTATATTATATGTGACTGTAGCGGTTATTGGTATCCATGGAATATATATATCTACTATAAAACTATTATAAGAATGCCGATTGGGTGATAAAGTCATAGAAGAATTTTAATCATTATCATTATCCATTTTTTTCGTAGACCCTTGTACCTTGTACCCTATTGTATGATAATTTCGATATAAATCAATGTAAAGATATAAAATAGCGGTAGATATATTGTGGTATCGATATAGGTTATGCGCAGAGGTGGAATTAGGAATTTTTACGCCCGGAAAAAATGTGGAAATTACGCCCTATCATAGACCAAAAATCAAATACTCTTCTCGAGAATTGTTTTCTAATAATTAATATAAAATCATACTTGTTTTAACATAAGAACAGTATCTAACAAAGTTTAAAAATATCAAATTAGTTGTTGATAATTACAAAAATTATACCTTCTACGGCCTTTTACGCCCAGGGATGAATCCCTGTTTTCCATCCCCTAGTTCCGACCCTGGTTATGCGATGTATCGATGGATAACGATTTTTTGCCATCCTTAAATAGGAATGGTAGAAACGGTAGATTTCGACGAGCATCTAATAAGCTGAAATAGCAGCTTGCCAAATTGACTGCTGCGCGCTCAACTCCTATTATCATACCATTATCAGTGCGTGAACTATTGTTGTAACAACAAATTTGTTATAACCATTGGTTATGATTTTTGATATTTAAACAATTGACTTCTTTACCTATTTTTTTTTTTAATTTGTGTTTTAGTACGTTTTTTTTTGCAAAATTTCATTGTTATATTAATTTTAAAATAATTTCTGTTTAGTATATAATTGTTTGATTTTTGTGAACTTTATGGTGACTATAAATTGTAAACGTATCCATTAAAATTTTTTTGTTCTGATATATTTGTGTTGTAAAAACATTTTTTTTTTTTTTTAGAATTGTCATCTAATCTTATAAACTCACATGTACAAGCATGTATGGATGCAAATTCTACACTTATTGTATTTCAAACATGTCGAATGTGTACATGTTTCATCAGTTTATAATATAGTGCTGTTGTAAAAGATTGGATAATAATTTGTTAATATAGGTATAATTCAAATTCACGCGCGCATAATCAGATTATTTTAGAAAATAACAGTTGATAATGGTGTGATGTGAGGAGCAGCGCGCGAAGTAGCTAGTGTGCCAAGCTGCAATGAGACGCTATTGATGTTTGGCCCACATTAATTTTGGGAGATGTGCATCATCCCCATATTATACTCTCCCCCTCCATCAAAACAACTGAGTAGGTATTGACGCCATACTTGAGCGTCTCCATATTTGCCCACTCATCGTCGTTGCCGTTGTTTTTTTCTGTCTAGCCATCGACCGTCTATTGAATATTTCTTCTAGTACTTCCATTATTTAACACTTAAATTACTTCTAAACTTAATGTTCGAACTAAATGTAATGTTATTTATACATTGGCTAATAACCTTTTAGCTATTTATCACCGTTTGAATTACACATTATTTTTCAGCTGTATAAACAACAAATGTATTGCGGATCGATTAAAGAAAACAATAACAATTAACAAGCATATCTTGTAGTGAAAAAGTGGCTGCAAACTAGATAATAATCAATCATATTCTACATTTATCAGGTAAAATATTGTCATTTAATTAACTTAAATTGTTTAATAACTTAAATATTAACTATACAGTAGACCTTGAATGAGGTCCGTGTGCAAAGGGGGGGGGGGGAAAGGTTTGGGAATTTTAACTCCCACATTAAGAATCTTTTTATACACGTTTTTACTAAGAATACACCGAGTCCTCGTTCTATGAAAATTAAACTGACTTGAAAATTCATAAAAAATTGTCTATTTTTGTTTTAACTGTGTCAATATTCTCGATTTAACACCTTTTTTTATTTAATTTGTGAGTACTTTCCACCTACTATCGATTGTAGTAACCGAAGTCATTACGACATAGCTAAAACTACTTTGTAGTCTTTTCCTTAACCTATTTTCCTTGGACGTTGTCAAAAACAACTATCTATTAAAATACTTTTATATTTGAAGACGGGTTATTAGCTAATAAGGTAAACAGGTATTTTAGATATTAAGAATATTTATATTATTTTTGTTATTAGCTAACCATTTAAACGGGAATAGTTGTTTTTAGTATAAGTTTTTGAAAGATTAATATTATTTTTTGTTTTTAAAGATCAACGAAAAGCCTTGAGTCTTTTCCTTGTTCTAAACTACTTTTACGCATTACGTCTAACTATCTGTGTATAAATAGGGACGTGATGCTAATACTTATTCAGATACAATGTAACCAAATTTATGAGTAGACCGATACTCTTAAACTTACAACATAAACTTATCGGACTACCATTACGTTGTATTTCAGTAATATAATTCACATCAGTAATATAGATCATATTTATAACTTAAAAAATGTGTTTTCTTTATTTTACTTCAAACTTCTATTAACAAACGTGTAATTACTGCAACAAAAGGTGATTCGTCGTAAAAACGTTTCGAGTCAGTCTGATCAAACCGGCTCACTATACGATTATTGTTGTAAATGCAGCCATCTATAGAACACATTTTCACAGACAAGTCAGCTATTCAAGTTGTTCAAACATTTATTAATTTTCGATCCTTATATTTCTGATCATGGATATCCAAACGAGTGTTTTTTTTATTGACTTTTAACCTAACATATATAATTTTGAACCCTCCCTTAGACTATTCTTGCACATGGGTCTGCCTTAAATACATACAGTTAAAGATAGAAATTTTTAATTTTAATTTCAGTAGGTAAAACAAAAGTTAAAAAAAATATTTAATAAAAGTAATAATTATGGTTGGTTTTTTCCCAAACCTCGTCCCCTTATATTATTTTCATTTGTTTTAGATTCTGAGTGAAACTAAGAATGTAATGGTTTTAGCATAGTGTATGTTATAGATCTGAGTACATCGATGATTATATTGGTATTATCTTGTATTTTTTCTGTGTTTTGTGCATATGATTTTTAATAGAAATTATTATTCCGATCATTACGAAATAAAGAGTAAAAGATAAGAAATATTGTCTAGTTGGTACATTAAGGATTATTTTACTATTTACTTAACAGTATTTTACTTCAATTACTTAGTGTACAAATCATTGAGATTTTAATTATTTTATTCTGAAAGTATAGAATTGTTTAATTGTTTGATATTTACTGAACTACTTATTATACAAACAATTACTCTATTTGGAATTAACTAAACGTGAAATTTGATTAAAAATAATACCACAGAAAATAAAATAAAACAATTGATTATAAATAATAATTAAGACATTATCTAATAATATTTTTTCAGGTCCAAGAGTTTGATGGTGATGAACATGTCAAATTTAAAATGATTTATTTCACATCAACAGTTAAATTGATATGAGTGGACACATGAATCTCACATCTAACATTCATTATTAACGTCACAAATACAATAAGGAGTTGACAATAGACATATTTATATTTAAGCTTTGAGAGTCACATGTAATTTTTATTATTAATCATTTTAAGGGAATATATATTAAAAAAACGTCATAATCAAATTAGTTTTTGGAGTTATTGTCGTTTTGTGCTAAATATACCAAATCATTACAACACATAGTAACAATAATAATTAATTTGCTGCAATGGAATCCATTTATGTAAATATAGATTTACCAATTTTAACACCTACAGATAATGAGTTGAATAATTATAGTAATCCTGCCGAATCAGAACCTTTACGGTATGGTTGTCAATACTGTACAGAAGGAAGATTTAGTTCTCAACAACAATTGGATCTACATGAGCGCGCACATGAACCGTATATTCGTTATGAATGTCCCAATTGCAAAAAGCTATTCAAAAAAGAATTAAAATTATTTAAACATTGGGAATCACACACTGATAGACGAAGATTCAGGTGCAATATATGTGAAAAAAATTGTTTATTATTTAGCACTTTAAGGAAACATCTAATAAAACGTCATGATCAGACTGATTTTTCAAATTGTATTCGTTATGAGCTAAGTCTACCACAGCATTACAAAAAAGTACTAGTGACTGATGATGCTGATGATTCATCTGATTCATCTGATGATAAGTGGAGTCTTTATTTAAGAAAGTATGAAGAATTCGTAGCCGCTACACCGTATCCTTGTCGATACTGTTCAAACCGCTTTACTTATGAAGATCAATTAGTTATACATGAACGCGGACATCAACGTCCAATCACTATAGGTAATGTGTTAAATCATATTAATAAGCCTGAAGAATGAAGAGCTTTACAGTACTGTTGTCCATTCTGCACAAAACAATTTAGTTCTCAAGAGCTATTTGATTTACATGAGCGTACACATAAACCATACATTCATTATCAATGTTCCAAATGCAATAAGCTGTTAAAAAAAAAATCGAACTTATCAAAACATTATGTATAGTCTCAGTATAATCTTTTATCTATCTATTTATAAATATAATATTGTATATAGTATATTATTGTATCAATAAATTTTTGTTGAAAAATATTTTAGATTGTAGATACGTACTTGTAATGCGTTATGTTAAAGCAATGACTTATCTAAAATAATTTACATTACATTTTTGATAAACAGTAAAAACTGTAATGAAATTATGTAGCGTATTACTATAAAAGTAATGATGTTATTTTCTGTTACATTACTACCCTACACTGATTGTTTGTTGTATTTATTATTCAGAAACTATATTTGTTCTTATATAATTAAATTTGTAAATAAATATATATAAATAGTTATATTAACTAGAACATAATTGATAGTAGTATAAAACATTGCTAAATGTGCATATATATACACATAAAAATGTATAATAGATATTATACCTTACTTTTTAGTTGTTTATGTTATTAGAATTAGATAGAATTAATTAGAATAAATTAATTAATAGAATCTAATTAATTTAATTGACCCAAAAATCACAAAATAAAACACTAATTTTCGTGAAAGTATTTCTGAGGCAGTGCGTTTAGCAATAACTTTACGATTTTTATCAAGTGATGGTTCATATCATATAATTTAAAAATAAAATAGTGTATTGTTTAAATAATCACGTATTGATACGTATTGTATAACATATTATTATTATATTACATTATTATCATATTATTATTTATCATATTCAAATATATTTTTTAATAAATATTATCATTTAAAACTATTTTAATTATTTATAATATATATAACTAAAATAAATAATAATATATATTGTACCTGATGTACACATATGCAAAGCATTATTAACTTTTATAATTATTCAGAGATACATCGGCATACAAGTACAAACATAAATTCAATAATAATTTTAATTAGGTACTTATTAATTATGTATAACGTTTTGAAATAGTAAAAACTCACACTTTATATTAATATAAAGTTCAAGTTTTATTTTCATGTTATTTGTAACTATACAAATTAAATAATTAGAAAAAATTTAATAATAATTATCTACATAATATTAACTAACTTCTTGTTAACCTGGATAATTTCTCAAATTTAAATTTAAATATTATACAATTAATATCAAATATTTTAATACCTACTGTATTTTTAAACTCATAAGTGCGTGTTTCAAAAACAACCATTGTTAATCATATAACATATACTATATAAATATAATATAAATAACTAAATTAACCGACTTCACCCGATTGTAAAATATATGTGTTTATAAACGTACAACACGTAAAATTCATAACCGTAACCATTATATGACAAAATAACTAATTTATAAATATTACACATTATTATTATTTTTATTGCTTTTCATAAATTTTAATTTAATAAAAGTTCGTGTTGTTGTAGTTCAAACATATGAATTACATAATATTATACACATATTATATGACATATGTGACTAATTTATTGATATTATATATATTTTTTATAATTTTCATTATTATTATTACTTTTAATTGATTCTACATTCAATAAAGCTCGTGCAGGAGTTAACACTACGTCTAAACATGGGAGTTTATTTACTTTAATATAATAAATATAATATAATCATTCCTTCACTTCCTTTCACGCGATAATCGATTTTGGTCGTTAACAGTAATTATATTTGTTATAAAATACATTAATACAATGTCATATCAATACACTAAACAGATATGTGGATAAATGTTTTTTTCTTACAATTAAATACTATACTTAATCGAGTAAATTCAGATAAAGTCATAATCCTATTTTCATAATAATTTACATAAAGAAATGGAATACAATTCGATTATAAAAACATTGTATACTTGACATTAAACGTAATTATTCATAAAAATGCAAAAAATGAAAAGTAATTATCAATAAAAAGTAACATGCCGTAGATATTTAAAAGAAAAAACATTTTTTTTACTAAAAATAATCAAGCAAAACTTAAATAAAATACTAACCCATGAACTAATCAAATAATTATTTTGAGATACAAAAGAACTAACAACGAAATCAAATCAATATATATTTTGGTATGTATAGTGTATCGTTTATTAACTTGTTCACATTCGTCACACGGATAATTGATTCACTATTTGGAAATGAACAATAACACTTATTGATTTTATTCAGAATACATATTTGAATAATTCATGCAATACACTTCGTCCAAATTTCATCTAAGTATAATGCTGAACGATGCGTGTCCTGTGATCGTATATGGTAACCTCGTGATAACTTATAAAATAATTTTCCAAAATATAACGCTATACGTATATTGTTGTAGTATTAGACAATTCAACTTCATAATTCAGGTCAAAGGAAATATTAAACAAATTAAAATAAACATACATTCATGTCACAATAGAAAATAGGTTACCATAACATTTTAGTGTATAAAAAGATAAATGCAAAACAATATTTTGTTATACTATATTCAAATTAGCATGTATACAATAATATGTATAACTAGGTTAAGCTAGGTATATAAGACAGAAGACTAACCAATAAAAGGGGTTTTCTGTAGTAATTGTGTGACTTGATCACTATAGGGAGCATATACATTTTATTCAGTATTAACTTAATTCAAGTTGTGTATCCGTGTTTGTACGTAAAATTTGATCGGCGTATAAGACACTTTATTTCTACACAGAAGTATAATAATTAATAATACACACCTATAGTAATTTCTTATTCTAAAACTAATTATATCGAATGATTTTTAACAAATATTTATGTAGCTGCTTCATTATTTTTCGTTTTAAGAAACTTATTTGTTGCAATTCATATAGAAGAAAAAATGAATTCTAAATATTTATTTTTAAGTGAATAAAATAGAGTAATTTGGCTAAGTAATTATTAATTTAGTAATCCTGTATTATTTAAAAGTTTTTATTATACAAGAATCATTAGCGTAGGAAGATTCGTTAGTGCCCCTGGTATGGGTGGACTGAGAACCTGAAGGCCCAGGTAGGGTACACATTTTAAAATTAACAAATAAGCGACTCATGTTAGTTGTTACAATTTTTATTTTAAATAAAATAACTTTTTAAGCACGTCTAAACGTGGGAGTTTATTTACTTCAATATAATATAATCATTCCTTCCTTTCACGCGATAATCAATCTTGGTCGTTAACAGTAATTTTATTTGAAATACATAATTAAATTTGTTATAAAATACATTAATACAATGTTATATTAATACACTAAACAGATTTGTGGAAAAAATGTTTTTATCTTACAATTGAGTACTATACTTAATCGAACAAAATTCATTAACAAAATAAAACAAATTACTTCAATATTACGAAATTAAAATACTATTTTTAATATAAATTACTAATATTGTTAAAAAAAATTAATAAATTGCTAAATATTCCAGAACTTTTACCAATAGCAACTATAATTATGTCTGTTTCTGGAATAATATCTGCTTCTATGGTAATCAGCATTAAATATTTTAATAAATTTTCCTTCATTGCACTCCTTGATCTATTTTTAATTTTTTTAATTTTGAAAATGCACGTTCGCAGTTTGCTTGAATACAGGAGAGAGTGAGAATATATTTGTATACCAAATATAAGTTTGAAAATTCTGATACATGATATATTTATATAAATATTCTAACAAATGTGGTGGACAACTGCAGTAGCCTAATTTTTTTCCAAACTTACACTTTGTTTCAAAATTATCACTAAATTCTGTTGAACTGTCGTCAACATTTTGAGATTTTGTGTTACTTTTATGTGTAATTTTTTTAAAAGTTTAACTAAAAAATGAAATAAATTGAAGAAACTCTTCTTTTATTGTAATTCCCGATTCGGCATTTGATTTAAGAGGAACGTATTTTAAATTATCGTTATTAATTAAATGAAAGCTTTTGGCGAATTCTTTAAAACGTTGTGTATTAAATGTACCTAATACTTCATATATATTTTCATTTTTTTTCAAACACATTTATTAGAACATCGTATGTTCTCCAATGAGTATTTACTTTAAAGTAGTCATGCGGTAAAATATTTCTGACATCATCCGAAGCTTTCTCAGCGAGCATTTTTTTTTTTAATTTTTGGCCTTCGTTTCAGTGCTGCAACTAAGATTTTGAAGCCCAGATGCAAACTAATTTTAGAGGCCCCTATTCATCAGTGGTGTTAAAATGTTGTCATTGATGAATTGATAAGCTTAGATAAATACCTCCCCCCCCATTTATTTAAGCTCATCAATCTCTCCCAGTACCGGTTAAAGACGGTATTTCAATTTTAGGTATCCGCTAAAAGTATGTTTCTTTTAAAAAATATATGTTAACAATACTTAAATTTTAAAATGTTTGTATTTCTCCACTCCTATTTATCAAAAACTTTTTAAACAAATCGACAGACTTGGGTAGTATTCCGAGTACAATATTCGGAATACTGTATTCAGAATACTTTTTTAGTATTTCGAATACTTTTTAAATACTTTTTTTTAAAAGTATTCGATAAAGTATTTTGAATACCGTCAAATCGTCTATTTTTTTAAATGATTTTATTACTTCTCCGTCGAATCTTGTAAAAACTAATATCAGGTATTTATTATTATTGTAAACTATAAACTATAACAGTTATGTAATATAAAAATACAATAAAGTAACATATACTTAGTCTGTAATTTCAAATATTTCTGTTGAGTGAACATCTATTATTTTTATAGTATGTAAACTAGAAGTATTTTAAAAGTATTAGGAATACTTTTGAAGTATTCTAAATAATGTATTCGGAATACAATTTGTATAAAGTATTTGAATACATATTTGGAATACTATTTTTGTAAGTATTTGAGTATTTATTCTGTATACTTTTAAAAAGTATTTTACCCAAGTCTGTTAATCGAACAACTTAATTTGAAGCAATGATAGGTTGCAAATACAGATTTTTCTAGTGGCAAATTTATAGGTGTACAAGCGTGTATAACAGAAAAATATCCAACTGCACTTTATGTACATTGTATTTCACGCCGTTTAAATTTGGCTTA